GATGATGACTGCATTAATTTACTGTCTAGAATCAATATCTTCAAACAGATAGTACATGAAAAGAAGGAGATTGCTAATATAAGATCTACCCTTAACAAATCCTTATGGGGTTAGTCTCAATTCATTGCGGGGAAAATATTACAGTTACTTCAATTATATCTATTTTAAATACTCTAAGGACATGGAGTAATGTTGGGCCCACCTCTCAATAGGAATAAGATACCCTATGGATAGATATTCTTATGCAGAATAAAACTTCATAACTAAGGTTAAAAGTCAGACAGTATATATTATGTTTCAGAGATTAAAATAACTTTTTGACGTCGACCCATGCTACACATCAATCGAGCTTTACATAACCAGTATAAACTGAACGTTAAATGTGCGGAAATACGATGCGACGCGACATCAGGATAAACTGGTTTTGTATAGATTGATGTGTGGCCGTGTGTTCCTACGAAGATACTTACAGCTGACAATTTATAGGTGTAATAGCAACTATTGTTCCATTTAGTAAGCCCTATCCAACGGTGTATCAAATGTTGCTATTGAGCGGTGGGTTCAGACTCCATACATTTGATTTACATTATCCTTCGTTTAATCGATCATCTAAGTAACTATAACATTTACGAGCTGAACCTAGTCCCCATAATAAATGGTAGTCATGAAAAGAGCTTCCTAACGTCTGGTCGTTATTACTTATTGGTCGGTAGGAACAATTCTCATACATTTTGCCCGTCATCCTTACACGGTGTATAAGTATTAACGAAAATAAAATAATAAATGAAGTATGCATAAAATCCTAAATTTTGGCTGTACAATACACTGTACAATGTAACACCCACTTATCACTATTTATCTTATGAGTCACATGTAATAGGGGGTGAGCATATTGTCAAATACCGGGCACAATTCCAGACTCTGTGCTACAACTGAGAATTTTTAAAAACCCTGTAATACTTTGCCCGACCCGGGGATTTAACCCGAGACCCCTTGCCGCCGGGCAGTCGCACTTGCGACCACTCGGCCAATGAGGCAGTCATGCCATGCATGCATGAGCCATGGTCGTCCCACTGCAGGGCAAAGGCGTTCCTACCCTCCTTCCATTCATCTCTTCTTAAAGCTTACTGTGGCCAATCCTTTTCATAGGCGTCAAGTTCATATTTCGTACGGATAATTATGACAGAAGTAAAAACCTCCTGATGTTTTGACCATGGTCGCCGCCTACAGCAGGCACAAGGGATGCACGTGGTGCACGTGCACCTTTGTTAGGAGAGAAATTAATAGTACTTTTCATGTTTTGTAAGATGCAATTATTATCAAGATCAAAAACTAGAGGTATTAACATAAAAATTACGAAGTTTTCCTAACCTGAAGTAACTGTAGACGTCCTTATGAATTTATCAGGGCCTTAGAAAAGAGCCCTTTCAATTTCACTCCCACCCTGTCCTTGAATTAACAAATATGTCTTTTACTTTATCGGTTTCTTTTTTATTGGGACAAGCCTGCCACAACTCCTGTAAGCCAGGACCAGGATCTACAGTAGATACAATCATGAAAACACCAGAACACTGAAGTCCGGCGCGTCCCAGGGACATGAGTAACTGTCTTGGTTCCCGCAACGAAGTGAATCAGAAGATATTATAAGAGAAAAAAAAAATATTGTGGTTACGAAGACCCCTTTTTGAGATATTGTATTTTCCTGCGAAGTAGGACAGGATCGGTCCTATACAAAAATGTCCTGTTTCTCCTACCTACACTTTGCACCCACGTTGGGAGCATTTGTAAATATAATTCTTTAAACTTCGTGGAATAGAAGCGTGTTGTTATTATCTACCAATTTGGGGTTTTGTAAAATGTGATTAAAATGAAATGACGTTTTTTTAATTTTTTGTAAACAATTGTTTATTATTAACATTTTATTTCTCGTTTGCATTCACTGCAATAATTACACTTCGTCACAAACACTCGCTGGCAAATTTATCACCGCATTAGCAATACAATATGACTTTTATTCTGTTAGAATCTATTTATGGAATTATCGGTTACAGCTTTCTTTCACATGAAGATTTCTTTCATTTTTCTTTTGAAACATTTATGTGAATATACCAAAAGGTAACATTATTATACTAAAGATAGATAACAGATAATTGTACTTTGTCCACACCGGACGAAACATAGAACAATTAAGATAATCACTGGTTTCACATGCAAAATAAACAATAATAAGAAAATAGCGAAATTAAACATTAAGATTTATAGATAAGGCTACTTAGCTAAGGAATGGAATGATTTGAAATTTTATCTTTCAGTATACTCACACATACAGCCACAAATACATTCATGATTTATTAAAATGGGTCCAAAATATCATATATAAGTCAATTTACATCAGTCAATTGTAAACTTAAGCTCAAAAAATAATTAAACAATGATTTTGTTCATAAAATTAAAGAAATTCACAATAATTATAATGATACGGTTGTAATAAATAAATTAAAAATACTGTCATTTTATTGTTCGGAATGGAAATCATAATTTTGAATTATAATATCATAACGAAATTCTCAAAAAGAAAAATGAAAGGTTCACTGTGATCAATTAAGTACAAAAATTATGATTCTATTTTTAGTACATTTGGATGTTTCATTATTTCCTCATAATTTAAACTTATTTGTCATCTTAAAAAATTAAATACAAGAGAATTATTATTGATCATCAGTCTATTCATATTTTTACAATTTTGTCGATTTAACCTTTTTAATCTACGTTCGAGTACAAAAGGCAACATAAGAGAGGTGATATAACCTATCACTTACCGCATATATCTACACGGACTTTATAAAATTGTAATTTAACATAAATTATTTCATAAACGATTCGTGGTCGAGCGTCCACACAGTCTGCCGGCGTGTGTGGCCGCTCGAGTGGCGAACCACAAACACAACATATCGAGAACTGTACCTATTCAAATAAATAAGTTAAAACAAGCAGAGTATCCTGTCCTATGTTGCCTGATGACACATTTTATATTGTCTCAGTACTCTTATAAGTAATGGAGAATATACTTACAAAACTAAAACTTACGTTTTTTATACACAATGACTTAGGTTTCGACAATTTGTTTCTATAAGTACTGAAGTTAATTTTAACCTATGGACTAACTACGTGCGTGAACATTTGTGTAGTGCGAGCGCGACTCGTACGAGCTGCGTGCTGGCATACAGCTCGTAGAAATGGCGCTCACAGTCTCAGGAACGTTACATTATCGTGCTAACTGAACTACAGCCGGAGTACAGAAGTTACGAGAGAAAAGAAAAAATCTACGTCGATTTTCAAGAAAACCTGAACAAGATTTTTTGTGTGAGATAATTCACTATCATAATCATAGGAACAAATGACAACAATTAGTCAATCACAAAATATAAATCAATGTAAAACCGATGAACGCATCATTCGCGTTATTATTATTTTTTTTATAAATTAGTCTAATCTTATTTTACGCACGGTTTGGCTTCTATACTGGTGCGAGTCTAGAGGGATAGTGTTAGTGGTTGTTGTGTTCGTGGAGCGACACTGGCCGCAGTAGTGCGCGGCGTATGCCGCGCCTCGACGCGGCGCAGTGCCGCGTCACGATGCGGCGCAGTGCCGCGCCACGATGCGGCGTCGCGCAGCGGACCGAGCTACGGGACGCAGCACACGTTACCTATACTTGGACTCGAACATTTTGTAAACAGTTTAACTAGCAAAAGGCTAACGAGGACTATATATAAAAATTAAGAGGATCTAGACTTTATACAAAAATGTTTACGTTTTCTAATTTTTGACGAACTATTTAAACTGTAGACAAAATGTCCTCGGGCCAAGTGTACAGAGATCGCGACGTGGACAAGTCCACCGGCCCCTCGGCTCGCGCGGTCCTCGCGGCGGCCGCTCGACGCTTGGCGGCGCCACTGTCGCCACGACGCTCACCGATCAGGGGCGGAAAAAACGCGATCCGTCCCGCCGATACTATTTACAGGGGCGTACGAATCGCTCTCTTAAATAAATACTTCGGAACGCTTATAACTAGACGTTTATACAGGGTCACTTTACACTTTACGCTATATTTACACGCGGCGCACAGCCTGTTTCGCACGAGCGTCCGTTGTGAATAAATAAGTTAGTGTTGTCCATTGACGCATTTAGTATCACTACACTTGTGTCGCGTACGTCGGCGGCAAGCAATGGTCGTCTAATACGTACACCCCTCCGCCTTCTAGCGCTCGCTTAACTAGCGACGTATCGCTGTAACAATAGAAATCTCAAGTTAGACACATTGTCGAAAATACCAATTAAATAAATGTTTAATTAAACAGCTAGAGATGTCTAAGAGCTTTGAAAACTTCGAGTATTATTAAATATGCTGAGAGAATTGTAGTAGCACAGTATGTCGTGATACTGACCTATTAGCGCAGTAGGCGGAGTCCGCGGAGAGCCGCGACAGGCGCGGGTCCAGCGCGGCCAGCAGGCGCGCGCTCTCTGTGTTGAGAGTCTTGCGCTTGCACTCCTCGGCCGCCGCGTTGTGCGCGTTCTGGCACTCCGGCGCCGGCGCGTCGCACTTGCCCCACGTGTTGCGGATGACGTGCCCGCCCGCGTTGGCCGCGTTCTGCGCGCGCGCCTCCGCGTCGGCCGCGCGCAGGGCTCGCGCGCGGCGCCGGCGCAGGCACACGATGGCCAGCACGGCGGCCAGCGCCGCCAGCGGCACTGCGGCCGTCACGGACGCGATCCACGCCACCTGTTGCCCTGATAGCGCCTCCTCGCCCCCCTCGCCCCCCACCCGCCGCTGATGTCCCCCCGCTTGCTTGGACACGAGCTCCGCCAGCGACACGGTGCACGACTTAC